ACCCCTTGTGTTTACTTTGCATTGAATGTATTGAACCGAATCTTTACTTTAATTAAAAATCTTGGCTACCTCGTTTACATAAGAAACTTAAGTTTTTAATCATCTTTTTCATAGCGAGATCCGTTTCCTGAAGGGCTTGATCAACATTTCTTCGATAAACAATCATGGGCTAGAACCCGGAGTTCGCACAATTATATTTACTTTGTTTCTCCTTTTTTTTTACTTCGTCACGTAGAGAGTACACTCCTTACAGCGCCATCTTTGTGTGGGCTGCAGCAACAACTATTAGGGCATTAACTTCTCTAGCTATGAAATTTAAAATCCTAAATATCGACAGTTGGATGGTTGCATTATCTTGCGTAGTTGTTTTCTCTCTAATAGTAACTTGCAACTTTTGTAACACACGTGGAATTAATCGTTAATTTATTCGGCCCCTGCGATTACCATCACCAAAAGCTAAAATTACCAGCAGTGTTATTTTTATAGGTAATAGCATGATTTCGAGTCTAGTTTGGTGTTAATAGACAAGAGTAAACTTTCAAAGATAAAAAAATTGCATGAGCCTATATGGAAAATGGTATTTCTGACGAATGAGTCTGCGAATAAGGCAGAAATAAATATTTTGTCGGCACGAGATACGACAAGGCCTAGGCCTTAGGCCCGAGCATCATGGGTAATGATGCAGTGGTATATAAGGGAAAGTATAGCACGTGGCGTCCATCTAGGCCTCAGAACCAACCGTTCACCTCTGGCTGATGACAAATTTATTTTAGTTTGAAAACATATTTTCTTTAGCTGAAGCCTCGTAGGATGGGCTGCCAACTGCTCTGAGTTTGGGCCATGGTTCCTACCCAGACTTCCTGTCATGTATTTTCCCCAGAGGGGTTTTTTCTGGCAGGTTTTTTCTGGCCTCTGTTTAACCGTAGTTATGTCCTTGTAAGCGGTTGCCCATCTCTGTTAATCCAGACTTGGTTAAGTTTGCATGTTAGTAATGTATACCTTTTTTTTAATGTGTAAGGAATTGTCTGTACATCGGGATTGTATATGGTATATCAGTTGCGAATATATGTATATATGCATGCCCCAGGCTATATATGCCTCGGGTTGGTTCTCGGTAGGCTTCCCTAAATTAACTTATTTGGTGTACAGTACTGTGTTATTTCTTGTGTAATGGAGACAAAATGTGCAATTTGTAGTCTCTGAAAACTTTACAAGTGCTTATTACGCCAAATTGCAAGAGAATTCATGTTATTTCTTGTTAATAATTTAATGAAAAATAATCTCAGAAAGTCAAGACCAACGAAATTTTGAAAACGTGCGCGCACTCTTTGTACCTGGCACTCATGTTAACTAAGAATGCACTCGTTCTTAGCCAATCAAAGGCGCGTAATTTTTCCTTACGTTACTTACATAAAAAATGAAAATGTACCCAGTCTATTCTTTACTAAAAGATGTTGGGTGCCTTGTTAATATAAAAAAAATTAATGATATCTTTAATTACCTTCTTCATAGAGTGTAATCCATTTGCCGAAGTTCTTAATCAAACCTTTATTGACAAAATACATTACGTTATGGGTATATTCCTTCTTATGTGAAAGCCTGCCACACAAGTGGTGAGCTGTGGTTGAAAGCTTGCAAATTCTACGATTACTTTTTTGTTCAAGTATGACCGATAAAAGTGTTGTCGTGATTTACTGCACAATTCTGTTTGAATCCCTCATTATTTTCTTGGCCAATACTTTTACCGTTTTTGTGTTTTGGAAAAACCGAAACAAATTGAAGAGGACCTCATTTCTACTAATTAACCTGGCTGTGGCAGATCTTCTTGTTGGACTCAGTCAAATGATAACAACTGGAGGGATTTACATCCCGGGTTATACCCAGACTAACAGTACTCATGGTGACGATATATTGAAGAAATGGATTTTAGCTGTGCCTTCATTATGTTTGCCATATGCATCACTTTTCTTTCTCGTACTCATCTCACTGGAGCGTGCATATGCTCTGATTTGGCCGCTACGACATCGATTAGCAAGTTTCAGAGGCTATATTTACAGCGCCATCATGGTGTGGGCTGCCGCAACAACTCTTGGGGCACTGACTTTGCTAATTGTGAAATTTAAGTTCCTAAATCTCGCTCATTGGATAGCCGCATTAGCGTGCATCGCGGCTTTATCCTTGACTACAGTTTGCGCCTGCTACGTAACAATACGAGCTCGACTCAGTTCCAATGCACGAGCAACAGTTGCTAACACAGACAATACGCTGGAACAAAACAGGAAACTCTCCAGGACTTTGTTTATTGTTATAGGCGCCTCTCTTGTCTGTTGGGGCTCGAGTAGTGTTGCCTACTTTATTTTTCATCTGTGTTCCAGGTGTTATCGTCGACTTCTTCTTGAAAGTTTTCACATATTTCATTTGGGAAATTCTTTGGTGAATCCTATAATTTATAGTTTTAAATTTCCCATGTTTCGAAAAGTTTTGAAACGAATGAGACTAAAAGTGACTTCTAAACAATATCGAGTCAGTTGAACAACACAGGCCTACGAGCGTTTAGTTCTCAGAGAAGAAATTGCGGAAACAGAGCTTTTTATTGATTTAAAGAAAGCGAACTATAATTCTAGCTGATGCTCCTTCGACCTTTTCATCTCGGTAGTGAATCAGGAATGGAATTGACAATAAAATACTAGATTAAGATTTCCTTTCTTGCCTGTTTGAGAATCATCTGACTGCACTGCAGAAAGATGACTCAGATCAAAGGTTTCACTTTGAAATTTATAAATTTAGTACTGAGAAGATAATGATAATGTGTAAGTAAGAGACCACTGTACATTACTAATTGTCCTCTATGTGCAACTTAAACCAGCTGCTTTTAAGTAATTAAAATAGATGTGCATTATATGGAGTTACAAATAAACGCGAGGTTGGCTTTCTCAATAAGCTTGGTGAAAACTTCAAAAAAATGTTCCTTTAGTTACAAAGCCTTTCGAGAATCAAAAAACTGCTCATTTATCTTTTGAAAAGGTAATTACGATTTTGCTCGATATGCCAATCGTAGAAATATGTTTTAGAATTATTTCTTTCTAGAAGGCCTTTTTGGTGTGGAAATGTTATATATATATATATAGAATTTGCGCCTTAGAAGTCAATAAATTATATTTTTCCATTTACCCCTTATGTTTACTTTGCGTTGTATGCAGGCACCCAAACTATACTTTTAATAAAAATCTCGTGCACCTTATTTATATAAGAAGGTTGCATTTTTAATCATCTTTTAAAAATTCTAAAGAATGTCCTCTTGCTAACTCTGACCTTCGAGAATCATTCAAATATGCTTATTCGTTTAAAAGGGTCGATTTGATTTTACATAAGGTGCCAAATGTGGCATACATTTTGTAAATACATTTTGTTTTCCTAGAAGGAAAAATTGTTAGCATTGCTATGTAATAATTCATTTATCAACCCGTTACGTTGTATGCAATTAACGGATGGAAATGCAGACCATCTTTTCTATAAACGAAAAATCGTTCGCTCATAATTAATTTTGGGAAATCAAGTTTTTAATTACCTTTGCTATAGTGTGAGGTCTGTTTGTTGAAGATCTTAATCAAATTTTTTCTTCTCTGGGTAAATATTGGTCAGAGCTTGTAGAATGATGTGTTTGTGTTTATTTTTCCCCTGAAATTTTTCTCCAACTGCAATATATATGCCTCGATCCTGAATTTTTGCTTTAAGAATCATAAAAACTGCTTTTCATTCACCACATTCGCGTTTTGGAAAAACCGTAACAAAATGAAGCGGACCTCATTTCTTCTCATTAACTAAGCTGTTGCAGATCTTCTCGTTGGACTCAGTCAAATGATAACAACTAAAGGGTTTTACATTCCACATCATATCCAGACCAACAGTACTCTTAGAGATGATGTATTGAAACAATGGATTTTAGTTGTGCCCCAACTCTGTTCGCCTTATGTATCAGTTTTCTTCCTCGTGCTCATTTCGATTAAACGTGCATATACTCTGATTTGGCCGCTATGCCATCGAGTAGCAAGCTTCAGAGGCTATATTTACAGCGCCATCTTTGTGTGGGCTGCCGCAACAACTCTTGGGGCACTGACTTTACTAATTGTGAAATTTAAGTTCCTAAATCGCGCTTATATGGCCGCATTAAACGTGCATTGCGGCTTTATCTATTTATTTTATTTTTGTGTGGGCTGCAGTAACAACTCTTAGGGCATTAACTTCTCTAGTTGTGAAATTTAAAATCCTAAATATCGACAGTTGGATGGTTGCATTATCTTGCGTAGTTGTTTTCTCTCTAATAGTAACTTGCAACTTTTGTTACACGCGTGAAATTAATCGTTAATTTTATTCGGCCCCTGCGATTACCACCACCAAAAGCTAAAATTACCAGCAGTGTTATTTTTATAGGTAATAGCATGATTTCGAGTGCAGTTTGGTGTTAATAGACAAGACTAAATTTTCAAAGATAAAAAAATTGCATAAGCCTATATGGAAAGTGCAATTTGTAGTCTCTGAAAACTTTACAAGTGCTTATTACGCCAAATTTCAAGAGAATTCATGTTAATTCTTGTTAATAATTTAATGAAAAATAATCTCAGAAAGTCAAGACCAACGAAATTTTGAAAACGTGCGCGCACTCTTTGTACCTTGCACTCATGTTACATAAGAATGCACTCGTTCTCAGCCAATCAGAGGCGCGTAATTTTTCCTTACGTTACTTACATAAAAAAATGAAAATGTACCCAGTCTATTCTTAACTAAAAGATGTTGGGTGCCTTGTTAATATAAAAAAATTAATGATATCTTTAATTATCTTCTTCATGGAGTGAAATCCATTTGCCGAAGTTCTTAATCAAACTTTTATTGACAAATACATTACGTAATGGGTATATTCCTTCTTAGGTGAAAGCCTGCCACACAAGTTATGAGCTGTGGTTGAAAGCTTGCAAATTCTACGATTACTTTTTAGTTCAAGTATGACCGATAAAAGTGTTGTCGTGATTTACTGCATAATTCTGTTTGAATCCCTCATTATTTTCTTGGCCAATACTTTTACCGTTTTTGTGTTTTGGAAAAACCGAAACAAATTGAAGAGGACCTCATTTCTACTCATAAACCTGGCTGTGGCAGATCTTCTTGTTGGACTCAGTCAAATGATAACAACTGGAGGGATTTACATCCAGCGTTATACCCATAATAAAAGTACTCTTGGTGACGATATATTGAAGAAATGGATTTTAGCTGTGCCTTCCTTATGTTCGCCATATGCATCACTTTTCTTTCTCGTACTCATCTCACTGGAGCGTGCATATGCTCTGATTTGGCCGCTACGACATCGAGTAGCAAGTTTCAGAGGCTATATTTACAGCGCCATCTTTGTGTGGGCTGCCGCAACAACTCTTGGGGCACTGACTTTGCTAATTGTGAAATTTAAGTTCCTAAATCGCGCTCATTGGATGGCCGCATTAGCGTGCATCGCGGCTTTATCCTTGACTACAGTTTGCGCCTGCTACGTAACAATACGAGCTCGACTCAGTTCCAATGCACGAGCAACAGTTGCTAACACAGACAATACGCTGGAACAAAACAGGAAACTCTCCAGGACTTTGTTTATTGTTATAGGCGCCTCTCTTGTCTGTTGGGGCTCGAGTAGTGTTGCCTACTTTATTTTTCATCAGTGTTTAAGGTGTTATCCTCGACTTGTTCATGAAAGTTTTCACATATTTCATTTGGGCAATTCTTTGGTGAATCCTATAATTTATAGTTTTAAATTTCCCATGTTTCGAAAAGCTTTGAAACGAATGAGACTAAGAATAACTTCTAAACAATATCGAGTCAGTTGAACAATACAAGTCTGTGAGCGTTTAGTTTTATTAATTTAAAGAGAGCGAACTATAATTCTAGCTGATGCTCATTCGACCTTTTCATCTCGGTAGTGAATCAGGAATGAAATTGTCAGTAAAACGTTAGATTCAGATTTCCTTTCTTACTTGTTTGCGAATCATCTGGCTGCACTGCAGAAAGATGACTCAGATCAAAGGTTTCGCTTTGAAATTTATGAATTCATTACTGAGAAGATAATGATAATGTGTTAGTAAGAGAACACTGTACATTACTCATTTTCCTCTACGTGCAGGTGAAACCGGCTGTTTTTAAGTAATTAAAATAAATGTGCATTATATGGAGTTGCAAATAAAGGTGACTGTTGGCTTCCTCAATTAGCTTGGTGAAAACTTCAAAAAAATTTCCCTTTACTTACACAGCCTTTTGAGAATCAAAAAACTGCTCATTTACCTTTTGAAAAGGTAACTTTGATTTTGCTCCATATGCCAGTCGTGGCCTTTTTTTTTTTTAATTATTTCTTTCCGGAAGGCCTCATTAGTATGGAAATGTTATATTATTCTATTAACCCCTTATGTTTACTTTGCGTTGTATGCACAGCACCCAATCTATACTTCTAATAAAAATCTTGTGCACCTTATTTATATAAGAACCTTACATTTATAAACATCTCTTAAAACTTTTACAGAGTGTCCTCTTGCATAAGGTGCCAATTGTGACATATAGTTTGTAATGATTTTGCCGAAAAGACAAAATTGTTAGCATTGCCTTGTAATAATTTATTCATCTGCCCCTTGCGTTGTATGAAGTTGACGAATGGAAATGCAGGCCATCTTTTCTCTGAAGGAAAAATCGTTTGCACATAATTAATTTTGGGAACTCGAGTTTTTAATTACCTTTGCCATAGTCTGAGGTCTGTTTGTTGAAGATCTTAATCAAATTTTTTCTTCTCTGAGTAAATATTGGTCAGAGCTTGTAGAGTGATATGCTTGTTTTTATTTTTCCTCTGAAATTTTTTTCCAACTGTAACATATATGCGTTGATCCTGAATTTTTGCTTTAAGAATCATAAAAACTGCTTTTCAGTCTAATTGCATCGTATTTTTTCAACGTGCTAATTTTGGTAAAAATATTGTAATTATCAGTTCTATCTTGGAAGGAAAGTTGATGATATTGCTTAGTGATTTTCTGTTTGTCATTCCCTCTCTCGCATGCTATTACAAATAAGTAATTAATTCAGTCTTATCGCTAAAAAATTAATCTCTTGTTCTTTATAATTTTGAAAGCTGAAGTTTTCAACTACCTATTTTTATAGTGAGATTCGTTTAATGAAGATCTTAATCACAATGTTTTTTAGCTGAATATTGGTTGGAGTTAATTGTAGAATATGTTTGTTTATTTTTTCTTTTTTTAATCAACTACATCACACCGTGGGCGTATTTTTTTTCTTATATAAAAGCGTGCTACGCAAGTGACAACCTGCTAAAAAAGCGTTGGTAAATTTTCCGAATACTGAACACTTCAAGTGTGGCTCAGGTAACATTTGTAATTCCCTGCATTATTCTCTTTGAATCCCTTCTTATTTTCTCGGGAAACTCTTTCACCACATTCGCGTTTTGGAAAAACCGTGGCAAACTGAAGCGGACCTCATTTCTTCTCATAAACCTGGCCGTGGCGGATCTTCTTGTTGGACTCAGTCAGATGATAATAACTGGAGGGTTTTACATTCCAGATTCTTTCCAAACCAACATTACTTCTGGTGAGGATAATTTGAAACATTCACTTCTAGGTGGTTACCAACTAAGTTTGCCTTTTGCATCAGTTTTCTTCCTCGTTCTCATCTCACTGGAACGTGCCTACGCTCTCATTTGGCCCCTTCGCCATCGAGTAGCAAGCATCAGAGGCTATATTTACAGCGCTATCTTTGTGTGGGGTGCTGCAATAGCTCTCCAGGTAGGGAATTTGTTAATGTTGTTCTTCCACTTCTCGGAAATTGACCACTGGATGATTGCAGTATGGTCCATTGCGGCTTTATCGCTGATCGTAATTTGTGCCTGCTATGTGGCGATACGAGCTAAACTCAGTTCCAGTAGATTGGTGTCAGTTGCTAGCAAGGACAATTCACTGGAACAGAACAAGAAACTCTCCAGGACTTTGTTTATTGTGATAGGCGCCTCTCTTGTCTGTTGGGGCTCGAGTAGTGTTGCCCATTTTATTTTTCATCAGTGTTCCGGCTGTTTTTCTAAACACGTACTCTACAGTTTTTACATATTCCATTTGGCAAATTCTTTGGTGAATCCTGTCATTTATAGTTTTAGATTTCCCATGTTTCGAGAAACTTTAAGAGAAATACTATCACTTAAAACTTCTGAACGACTTAGATTTAAACCAAACAGGGCTTCTGAGTTAGTAACTGTCGATGACAAATTCATAGAGACAGGTGTTTATGTGCAAGAAGGAATAGTAAAATCATAGCTTTTTCTTGTACGGACCTTTCCGTCTTCCTCAAAAATTTAGAATACAGGCAGATAGTTGCCTATCAGAGGAAGCGAATCACTTTGAGCACAAAGTATTAGAAGAAAATAACCTTTCTTACTTTATTGAGGATCGCCCGGCTAGATTTAAAAAAAACAGTTATCTTTTTATTTATTGTTATATTTTTCCCTGAAACTAATTACCAAGTTACAAGTGGAAGAAGCCCATGAGAAACCAGGCCTTTACATGATTGGCTCCTTTTGGCAAACATCATATTCACAGTTTACAGGTAGAGTAGTGACGATTCAGTGGCAGAGCTGAGTAGAAATTGAGTAGAGCTGAAACGTTGTATCAACGTTGTTGTATGCGTAATGCATAATTAGTCAGAGAGAGGGTATATAAATATAAAAATATACTTATACTCCAGTTTTCAAAAATGCTGCAATTTGAAAATATACCTGAAATATATACACCCTTTCTTTTACCATTAGGTGTTGTCAGAATATATTACAAAGATAAAAATATTTACAAAAGCAAATTAAATTAGTAAATAACGTCCGGGCCAGCTGCACATCCAACACGGTGTCCTGATGCTGAAATGATGGAGGAGCCAAATGAGTCTTGCAGCGCATGACAACACGGTATATCACAGCCGACCAAAAGTTTTCAAGAACAAAATCCATTACAATCCTTAAACAAGCAACGTTGAACTTGACCTTGGTAAAATAATTTTGCTCGGGTTGTCAAAATGTCATTCACTCACCAACCGCAGTCCTTTTCAAGACAGTCCTCGCCAAACGATCGAACTACACAATCGAAAGTGCGAAGGTGTTTTATCCAAAAATCGCTCAATGTATAAGTCCCTCTCTGATCCAAATCTTTCTTTTCACTTCAATTCCGACCAGCACTAATGTTCGCCGTAAACGCTTTTACAACCTTTGTCCTTTCTAGCGAGCTTCTTACTTTCGTAAACCCCCGTCTACAGCTTCAAGTTATTTTTTAGACCCTGCTCTTTTATAAACCCTTCCCTCCCACCTGACCCCTAATTTCGTACATTCCTCTCTTTCTTATCCCCCCCTTCTCTCTTCAATAGGCCTCTCTCCCCCCCACCCCACTCAAGTTTTTTATCTTGCCACATATGTGCCAACGAGCCAGAAAGGGGTATGTTTATTTTATCCAGAACCCCCCCTCGGCGGTTAGTTTTCATATCGCGCAAAACCACTTATGAAAAAAGCCAGTGTTGGTCTGATGGTGAACGTACATTTAGAGGACTGACGTCATTGGAACACTTTTACATCATTTTTTGCAAGCTGTTCTTCGCCATCCTTAAACATTTTCGTTCCCCTTTTTTCAATTTTTCATCTTACATCTTTTCTTTTGTATATTTCAAGGCGATGCGCCGTGACGCTATAAGTAGCTGCGCTGTATTTGAGAATTGATGTTTTGGTTCCCAGTCTCCGCGGGTTGAGTAAGATCTTTTCCATTGTGTATCTTCCGCAGGTGCCATGCTGGTTGATAGTAAGATAACAAAGCAAGATTCACTTCTTTGAATCGGTAAAGGTGATAAAGATATCATGAAAAAGGAATTTAAGTATTTTACTCGATCTGTAAACACAAAGTTACATCCTATGTCTTCAGTGTGATCAGTGGGAAAGTTATTTCCAGGAGCAAAGAGAGAAACATGGACCAGCAACAGCCCTTCTTCAAGGTAAAAAACATTGATAGACTCTTGTTGAAGTAAACTGAATTTGTATTTGGTTAGCTTCATGTGATTCTATGATTCTATGATTCTTCTACATCAATAGTTATACCGGTCAGTGCTAAAATTTAATGCTCGAGCCTAGCACATACTGCTAAGCGCACTGAGGAAAATCGCCATGGATAGGGGAGGCAGTCGATCAGAAACGATCTAGGCGCATATTTAGTTCAAATTGTTAATGTGATTATTCGTCGTAGTAACGACAATGTATTCCTTTCCTAAGAGCACGATTACTGCTCTTCATAGTTTACTCTGACGAAGGCTTACGCTCGAAACGTCCGCTCAGAACATCTTTTACGGAAGCCAATTTACATTTATCAACTCAGTTGATAAAAACCAAATTATCTTTTCGACGCAGCATCACAGTTTCTCTAGAAACTTACCCCCTATATTTTGTATTACATTGAACAAATCCGACCTAACCTGTCTTGCCGTGGAAAATCATGTGAGAGTCAAACCTTGTTAAGTACTATTTTTGGAGATGACGGGTCAAATTCGACCACATTTTTTTCTAGCTGACGGCGGCGCTTTTTCGTTTTATAAAGGGATAAGCGGCAGTGTATGTGTCGAAAACGTGAAAAAGCTGTACCGCGCTTCCTTATTAACTCACGATTTATTCACTTGATTTGACAATTTTACTACAACGCTTCGGTTAACTCCCACTCACAACTCTCGGCTTATTCGAAAGAAACACACACAACGTCCTGTTGTAAGCGCTTGGAACAGTGCCATATGTCGGGCGATAAAACATGTGCCGCATACATGCTTGTTTGGTTATGTAAGATAAACGAAATCACTTATAAATGTCAATCAAATTAAGAATAATTAAGAGGCGACCTCTGTAAAAGCGGTCCAGGGCATTTCGCATCAGAATAAAGTTTTCCCTCAAACTTTGCCCGATAATCTACCTTTGGTAGCGAGCACATAGAACCACATTAGTTTCTGGAAATACGTTAAAATAAAATTTTTAGAGCTCTCAATAGTCAAAGCTGCAAAAGGCCCTTTTTTGACCTCCTGCGACATCGAAAATTTCAAAAGTTAAAAAGCCCGGGCCTCGTATCACACCGCATGCAGCAAAAGATCTTTTGTATTCTTAGACTGTGTAATATGTATGGTGTATAAAAAGCATTTCAATTTTTATATTCTTTTATTCAGAGGTTCGTCATGATTTATTTAATAACACACGTTCGACAGCTTTCTGAAATTGGTCAAAAGTACTCTTTCTTTCTTGGTTGATATTGCTCAAGTCCAGACCAGACCATCGAAAACTCCGCTTGATTTCTTCTAATAAGATGTTTGGCATAAGAAAAATATAAAAACATCTTGCACTTATTAGTTTTCTTCGCCGTGGTGACTTCAAACTTTTAGCGATTTTGCTAGCGTGACAGCCGATTATGCAAATTAGTTCATTGAGCAAACTCCGACCGTTTTATCTAAGTAGCTCAATAAATCTTAGATTTTGGCCATTTTAAGTTAAAAATATAGTAGGACAGAGCTTTTAGACCACACGGATTGATACTCTAAACATTTTAAAAGGCCAAAATTTGACGAATTTTTCTATCTCGTGACGAAAGACGTCAACAACAACGTATCGAATATCATAATTTGATTAGCGCTCAGTCAACCTTTTAATGGCAATTTGTTATTTCATATTTGAGTTCTGACAGCATACGCTATTCAAACCTGTGTGAACATTTCGGAACCAAACTACAGGATTTTATTTAGTGCAACTGGCGATAACAGCGCACACTAAAATATACCGTGACCAGTGACTCTGTCACTTAATTAAATTGTGTAATTATCCTGAATTACTTCTCCCATCTAGATAAAGCAGCGATAACATCGTCTTTTGGCTCAGAATTCTAGTCGGCAGGAATAAGAGAAAATTTTGTCTGCACACCTGACTTTATGAGAGTTTCTATTCACAACTTTAGAACTTTCTTGTAGAAAAGGACTCCGCGTTTTTAAAGGAAATAAATTATTTCGTTACGTGTCACCTAATTTTTCCAACAATTAGCCATATCTATGTTGTAAATAGCGTAATCCTATTAGCTGTAATTCAATTGCTTCTTTCGGTACTGATTTGCTTTTGATTAATAACACTAAATTCTTGAAGCAGCATTCGCAGTAAGATGTCTTGCTTTCTGTCGCATTCCTTAGAAACTTCGTGCGGAGACTCACGAGGAGTTTCCGGGTTGTTTAATTTACTTCAGTGTACTGACTCAGTAGAGAGTCATCTCTCCTTAATCCATTTGTCAAAAGAGAGTGTCACGGAAGGAGAGCTTATCCTAGCAAGGGCTGGCCTGTTCGATATAGATGACTCAGTTATGGCAAAAATGTTGGTCTGTGCAAAGCATAGGCACACCTATGGGAAGTTCTGGCGCCAAAGATCAGCGTGCCAGTATCCGACACACCCTGGTAGCGATTCCAAGGGGGCAAAGAGCCGGTATTCTGTCAATTTGGAAATGTCAAAGGCCATTTCTAAGATGTATGGCGTTCTCGTTCAAGTAGGTTCAGGTAGGAACAAGTGATTTAAGATACTGAAGTGGCTGATTTCAACCAATCTCTCCCGTTTTCTCCCCAATCGCTCGTTCGAATATTAATCCACTTTTTCCTACGTCCAGTTATTTGTATTAACTGCTGCAACAAGCACAATGCTTCTGTGAAGGAAATGCCATGGGTCTCTTTGGAATCCACAGAGAAAGAAGACAGTGATTCCTGCGCTTATGTGAGGTAAAAGAGTTTGTGCGAATAAAAAGCGTTTGATATTGATGCATGCAGTTGTGTACATAAGCTGAGATACATAACCCTTTTCCAATAAGAAAATGCTCTACGGGCGGTAATTGTTAACAAATAACTTTAGTAATTAATCATAGCTTACTGGAGTTTTGCCTGTATCAGGGATCTCGAGGTAATTGCCTTTTGGTTACGTTAATTGCAAGACACACCGAAAGGTACATCTGTTTGTATCGATTCAGTTTTTGTAGATATTTTGTAAACTACAAAAGAGATGTGCCTAGTGCTAAAGCAGTTAGCCTGCGTACAAGGCTCTCGGCGAAAAGCCTGTAGTAAGCATCTGAGAGAACAGAAGCCATGTCTATCTCTCGCGTAACTTCTCGCTCGCGCGTGCTAGGTTTAATCACTCGCGCCCAGTTGACTTTGAAAGCATGTTACCTAGTTTTATGTGTACAAATTCATCTAAAACTTGATATCTTTAATCGAAGGCCAAGCAAAGATGCCG